TCTCAATTCGTCTCTTGCTTAATTCCACATTTATTTAATCTCCTGTCTTTTCAATTCATCCATTTTCCTTTTCCATGTATGTGGTTTCAGACTCGCTGAGGGGAAGACTGACAGTGCAGCCGGATTTTGGTCTGAAATGCTTCAGCATCTCCTGTAAGGTCTTTGTGGACTAGACTCATCTGTGGGGGACTGATAGAACTTCGTACTTTGAGACAAAAAAAATTTTTTTTTGCATTCAGCCTTGCAGGCTGCTCAGAATGACTGCATGTAGGTAGTGGTGGTGGCCAGGACGTGGCTGTGTAAAATCCAGGCCCCACATCAGAGCCTGGCTGTGCCCATCCTCCGATCCCCATGAGCACGCCACTCCACAGTCTGCAGGGTCCACACAGCCCCAGCTGCTGCTGCCGGACCAGGCCGGGATGTAGTGGCTCCTGTGGCACCTTTCCTGTCAGGGACGGGATGCTGGGCTGGATGGGACAATACGCCAAAGATTGTGCAGTTCTTTTCTATTTACATGGAAGCAAAATGAATCTTGAGAGGAATGTGTTTATCCTCCCATTCCTTGCTTTGCATCTACTATCTGTTTGTGTCGGTCCTGTGCAACGCAGCAGAGCTAAAGAAATAACAGTAAAATGAGGAAAACTTAATGCAGAAACAAACAAAACTGTAGTTACAGTATTGCGTCTTCCCTGTGCCGTGGGGAAGAGGAGAGTCTGAACCTTGGACAAATCACATCTGCCAAACTGCCGTCACTGCACGGGGTGATGCCGGCGCTTCTGTCCCCGGCCACAGCCTCAGCAGGGTCTCTGCACAAAAAGCTGCTTTCCTCCTGGTCTGAGTTAACGGAGGCAGACCGGAGGGGACGGGGGGCCGGCACCCAGCCCCTGCAGCCGACGCGACCGCTGGAGCGACGCAGCACGGGCTGGACGGAGGAAGGAGAGCCGGGCGCAAGCTTGCTGCTCGTAGGTTTTCTGTGGGGTCCCTCAGCAACTGCAGATGCTGCGGACACCGCCAATGCTGGCAGAGCGGCTCCTTGCTCATTAAGTAGGTATAAGCTACAGCCAACCCTGCCGTCTCATCCTAGCTCTGATCCACCCAGCGTCTTATGCCTTCCACTGCATCAACTGATCGGATTAATTGCTGTGCAGCTGGGATGAGAGGCGGGGCGAACTGAGAGCAGATGAAAGCTTTTATGCTGCTTCCATTCACCCTCAGATCATTAGCCCTCGCATTGCCGAGTGTTCCCGGGCTTGCCACATCTCCCATGCTACTTCGTCATCTGCTAGCATGGCCGTGGACAGCTTGCATGCTTGCCACAAATAAAGGAAATTGAAATCTCATGAGAAGCCCTGCTAGAAGCCCTCATTTTTAAGCTAGCTGTTGCAAGCTGATCTAAACACATTGGGAGGAAAATGACAGGAGTTTTTACTCCTGTGACAGCTGAACAGTCGTTCGTACCTGGTGCATCAAGGCTGAGATACCCCCATTGCTTTCAGGGAAAAATCTATTTTGAAATCCTCTCTTAGCCAGTATTTTTGCAGAAGAAAGAAAAGGGCTTGAGGCTAAACTTGATCCTCGCAGGCTGCATATTTCAGTACTGGAAGTCTGTGACTCAGTGGCCTCTGGAAGCTCTCCAAGCTATCAGTAGCTCAAAGGAGGAATTAAAAACTCAACGAACTGCCTGTTCTCCTGAAACTTGTTTTGTACATGCTATGGAAGAGATGAGAGATTTGAAAGAAGGCAGCCCTGTCCAAGAACCATTGGCTATAACACGTCACAGCAAGCAATGAATATTTATTTTATTGAAAAGCTTAGACATCTTTTAATGAGCCTTTTTACCAAGTTTATATGGAAGAATTTGCCAAAATACCATGTAGACTATAATAAATCCCAGGGTGCCTAATAGGCTTCCCCACTTTGTCGTCTGTCCCTAGCAGTCTCTATGTAGAGACGTCAGAATACCTGTTTTGTCCCCCAAAAAGGAAAGGAGAGACTGAGTAGCATTTCTGGCATTTTTCCAGACAGTTGGAAAAGCTGATGTGAACAGAGATATGTCCTGTGCCGGCCTGTGAAACCAGGCTTGGGGTGGCAGGAGGAATCTTAAGGAAGGTGAGTCTGAGGCTGGATGTTAGACAATCGGTTCATCAGAGCTCAGGGAAGAAGATGGCCCCTCTGGCTGAGCCTCTGCTTCTACACAAGAGTGGTCCTTGTTTCACTCTACAGTTTTAGTCCCCAGATCTTCCTTGCCCTCATCCCACATCCATGTCCGGTGGATATCTTGGACCTGTCCATCCCTGATAGTTAAGGCTTACTTTCGAGCCAAATACAGAAGAGAACAAAATCAGCACCTCAGATTAAAATAGGAAAGAAAGTCAAAGTTTCTGGACACTTCAGGAAATCTCCCATGAAAAGGGCTCTAGTACTTGCTGAAAATAGAGCTTGCAAGCCTAACATAGGTGGTGAAGCGAGTGATTTTCTGCTCTTGGGAGTGCCTTACTTGGAAAAGGAGAACTTTAAGAAAAGGCAGCACCATGGCTCGGTGCCTTCAGACACGGCCTGTCAGCATGCATTCCTGATCACAATCAGGAAACATCTTCCCACTGTTTTTGCCACGTTTTCCCAGTTCTCAAGAGCAAGGGCTGACTGAGCTGGCTCACCCAAGAAAGAGACTCAGTGAAGGGATCCTTCCAACTGAAGTTAAAGCCATTGCTTTCATGCTTGCTGTGGGTGCTAGGACTTGGTACTGCTGCGCCTCAGTAGTGTCTTCTGAAGTGATCAGCCCAGGACAGAAAGCTTAGCAGAGAAAGATGTTTTGGAAAGCTGGAATTTGACATCTTCTCCAAGAGGATGTCCAGCTGGAGGAGCTGGAGCTGGAGATCTCTTCACCAACGCAGCAGAGAGAAACATTTCTATCAAGCTTGGTACCTAACAGCCAGAACTGGTCGGGAAGTGTTCTTTGTGGATTCCTTGGTCATAAAATGCTCATTTGCTGAAACTAAAATATTTTTCTAGGAATGTGCTAATTCAAACAAAGGCTTAGCCAGAAAAGGCTTTCTGCTTCCAAAAAGAGGGAATTTCTGGTAAATGGAGCGAGAGTGAATCGCTTAATTTAACCACCAGCTTGGTGAGTTTGAGCTCTCAGCTGAAATACAGCAGAACCCAGGTCATGTCCTTGCTCCAGCAAATGCATCCTGCTCATTTGAAGTGGAACAACCCCAGCAGGAACAACTCACACAAGGATCTGCTGGCTCCTCCTCATGTCTTGGAACAGGGAAATCACTGAGCCTGAAAATCCCCTATTCTAGGCAAATTCTCTGGCTGCTGGTTGTTGGCTGTCCAGACCAAGTCTCTAAGGTGACAAGCCAACGTGCTGGCAGGGACAGAAGTCCCTTGCTGTAGAGAACCTACAACCAGCCTCAGCCATAACAAAGCTTGGCCATTTCCAAGTCTGCTGGATGAACATCAGCACTTGAGCTGCCTTCAGCTCCTCCCCTGGCACTGCAGCCTGGTAGATTTTTAAGGGACAAACTGTTTTTTGAGCTCTGCTCACTTGCATATATTTGCCCAAGGACAGAAGTTGTATTGAAGGTTCACACTCCCCAAAACCTGCATGTAGACAACCACACATGGATTTCCTGGAATTTGCTAGAGCAGCAAAATTTAAGTTGAGTTCACTTGTGCAGCACAAAAGCAAGTGCTGATTTCTCAAGCTAACCTGCCCTGGCTTTTGTTCCCCTTCTGCCCCTCCATAAAGGTAAAATACTGGTTTTATTCTAGCCTTTCAACTATGTAAATACTGTTGCACGGCCAATATGCAACCAATTATAGAGGGAGCAGATGTTTTTCACAATAGTGCAACAAACACTCTTCTTTTTTTGCCGTTTGCCTTAAAGATATTTATCTCCTGATGATTTCATGTTCAAGTCTTTCATATTTCTGTATTGCAGTGATTGTCCCCTTAAGGTGACATGTCTTTCAAACGCGCAGGGGAGGAAGAATACAAATTAGTCTGATATAGGTGGGTAAGTAAATTGGCTGTGGTCACCCGGCTGCCTGCGCTCCTCCAGCTGTTCAGAGGAGGCGACTTGCTGGCAGAGCCGTGCCGTTGTCAGTGCAGTGGCTTGCGTGCGTCAGGCTTGCAGTGGCTGTGACTGGAATGTGTTTTACATCTGGTGTGCACTTCTGCGCTCAGAAGGACCTCACGTGCCTTCAGCCGTAAACGGAGTGCTGAACCCCTGGGGATCAATCCCCACCAGCAGCAGCAGAGCCATTCCATTTCCAAGAATAATCTTCCATCCGAAAAAAAAAAGGTGCATCATCCAATACCTTAATCTTACCACACGGCTGGGTGAGCTTCAGCCTTTGGTAAAGGGTTTCCCCTTTACTGTTGCCAGTGAAAACATGTGTCCCAGCTGCACATGTAGCCTCACCTCCACAGCCACCAACCCAAGCAAGACCTTGGAGGTGGGAGGCTGCGACCGTGTGCCTCCGAGTGCCCTGTGGTTGTAGGGGCACTAATTGTTACTGTTTGTAAACCTGGCTGGAAAAATTCTTACAAAGCAGTTTTATGTGTTTCTTCTTGTTGTTCTCTTTGGCCAGTTTGCCACAATCACCAGGTGGTTGCTCTCCTTGTAGGGCCTGTCAAAATGTCCGGGAGGAAAAAGGGGAAGAGTTTGTTTCCAGTATATTCCCTGCTCCTTCCAGCTGCTAATTATGGGGTGTGGGAATGCCTTGAAGTTCCTCTAGGAGACGTTTGTGGAGCTAGGGTTACTTCAATGGGAAGACCATCACAAATTTTGTAAAAAGCCTGGATTTCTTCACTGTGCTTCTTGTGAACAACTTGTGTTGTTAGTCCTTGTGTTTTTTCCAGCTGGAAGAAGAGAGTGGTACCACAGATGTTTTCATTCTTATTGACTCCTAGGCTAGAGGCACAATTGTCAGCATGTGGTGAAGGCAAGTATTAATGAGTAATCTTTCAAAAGATCTCTCCTTTATTTCAGAGTCTCCTGAAATCGGGCCCTCAGTTGTGGTTCACACAACTGTGATGTTTGGAAGCGAGAACGTGGATTCAGACCCTGCAGAGGTGCAGCAGTTAATTCTCAGTCACCTGGAGAGGATTGTGCCATCCCTACCTAAACCAGCCAGCATCAAGTGTCAGAAATGGAGATACTCTCAGGTAGGCTGTGGTGGGATCAGTCATCTGGGAGGCTGCTGCTGGGGCAATGCTGTAGTACGGACTTGCGATGTATCGCAAAAACCAGGACATCATATGACCCAGTGGTTTTCATCCTTGGGGAGCAGGCGGAAAGGGGATAGTTGCTCGACATCTGTAATACATTCCTCCACATAGTCGTGAGCAGAATCGAAGGCTGGCCAGTGACAGCCAGATCATTTCTAGTCATCTCTTTACATAGTGGACCTGGCTCAGCAGTAAGTTATGCAACACTCCTGGTAAGTAGGGACAGGAGCAGTGCACAGGAAGGAAGTAAATCCCACATACTATGGTGGAATTTTCACTGGTATTTAAAAATGTGACTCAATCTGTCTCTTCTGTATACAAAAGTATGTGATATTATTAGCAAAATTCCCACCCTACCACAGAGTAGCAGAAGTCCTTGTGTTCAGATGTACTAATTGTTATTATTTGATTTGGCCCAATTCAATTTCGTATGTTATACGAAAAATATTTTAAAGTAAACTACCTAAGGGTAATAATAGCAAAATGTGTATCTTTTACAGACTTCTTTTAAAAATCTAGGGAAATTGTTGGCAATTTCCTAAAGTATTGAGTGTATCTACATGTTTACCCAAAGCCTCTTAAGTTAAATTACATTGGTGAAATTGAATGTGGAAGTTGCTGCAAAATATTTACTTAAAGCAGTTGCCTAAAAATTTTTCCTTTTATGAAGTCTGGAAAAGTTATTGTAGATGACTGTTGTGAAGTCTGCTCATACGCCTTGATCTGCATCCAATTTAGGAACCTGGTCTCATTAGCACAAAGTTTATTTTTTTCAGAGTTAAGTATTGGTAGTTTGCACATCACTTACCAGTGCATAGTATTTGTTCTCAGCTGTCATATAAAAATGACCTTAACATAGGTTTTAATGTGTCAGGTGACTCATACAAAAATCATGGTATTTCACATGTTCCTCTTTGTCTGTTCAGGGTTTTTTTGCTAGTAGCAGTATCTCTCTACCGTTGTCACTGTTAAGGTATCCTTTTCTGGTTGTCACTTCTGGTCTTTTCTTCTGTGTTATCTGTTAGCTTTCTGCTTCAAACTGCTTGCGAGCACAAAAGCTGCACGTGGTAGGGAAAAGAAGAATTGGATCTATCTATCTCCAACAGACAGATACTTGGTTGACCAGCTGTGGAAAGCGTTCCCAAAACAACAAAAGAACTATTTTTAAACAGAATTATACACCCTAGATACTGCTGCTATCATAGAGCTCTATCATAAAATTTGTCAAATTCAGCTACTTTGTTTATGTGTGCAAGGAAAGGGCTTAATATGCCTTTTCCTTGCACTGCTCACATTTTTAGCATAGTGTCAAAGGCGATATATAAGCATATGCATCATACATGGTCCATGCTGATTTATTTCACCATGAAAACATGGATAAAGGAAAAGACAAGAACAGCAGTTAGTTTCTTACTACTGAATTAAAAAAAAAAAAAGTCTCAATTACATTCTACCAAACAACTATGCTTTTTAAATCCTGGCAAAATTATGGCCATACAGGATTTATTATAACCTTGTACCTGTTGCTTCATCTTTTGGAGGTAGCTGGAACAGCGGCTGTAGGAATGAAGTCTTACTTTCCACAATTGCTTCAAAATTGCTGATTTCCTAAATCACTAGGTGTGCATCTTGTTTCCCCTATTTAAAAATTACATTCAGACATCATACTGCTGGATGATGCTGTATGATTTTCTCAAACCACTGTACAATTTACAGCTCTTCCCACTTTCTTCTCCTGCCTCTGTTGCCTGCTATCGACCATGCTGCTACTAACCAAAACCTCTGACTTCAGCAGCTGCTTGTGCTTTAGGGCTGTATCACAGGAGGAATTATCACCGGTCTTTAATTTGGTGGATGAATGTCAATATGTCTTAGATTGCAAATAAGTCAGTGTAGGTCAGATCCGTTATCTCAATGAAGAGATCTTTATTGCCACTCTGTAAAGTAATCACCACCTAAATTAAATATCTGGGACAGAGCTCCCTCTTCCTCTTAAAGCTATCTTTATTTTCAGTTATAATAGGCTGTTGCCACAGAAACAAAGGAAACTGATAAGATGGGTGCATCTTTCCTCTGAATCTTTTAGATGGGATTTATCCTACTTGTTAATTAAATCTGACTGTAATGTCCTTCATGTGGCCAAACACAATCCTGGGATTAAAATGCAGACATTACAATCATCTGTGGCGGATGAGGGATTAGGACTTCCAAACTTCTACTGACACTACTTAGCAGCACAGCTGCAATTCTGGATCCCCTGCTTTAATTATGGTAAGACACTATTAGCATTCAGAGCCAACAGCTTCCCAGCCTATCATGTCCCTTTGACACAGTCACTTATATGTATAAGAGATACTGGGAAAACACACAATCGTATAAATTGGACCTCTTCAGAGGGTATCATCTCAGAAGGGACCTCTTCAGGTCTCTAGTCAAACTTGTTCTCAGAGCAGAATTATCACCAGCACTAGGTGACCTCGACCATGGCTTTGTCTAGCTGAGTCTTGAAGTCTTCGAGGATGGAGATCCAACAAGCCATATAGCCAAGGGTAATTTGGAATTTATGTTGGAAAACACCTTCAGAAGAACTTGAAGAAGGGGCAGGATCATTCCTTTCCCCAGCCACTATGTCTAGAGTGAGGGCCTTTACTATATTGAGCACACAGTCTTGCCACACAGGCAAAAAGATGCAGGCCGAGATGTGAAAATACTGATCCTGTGATCAGTATGACAAACCAGAAGCCATTTGGCACAGCCAGCATCAAATAAACACGGGGTGGTCCAGAAGGAAGGACACTCAAAAAGTCTTTTTCTGCTAAAACTTTCTTCACTGTTTATGCTCAGTGACCTTGATCTGTAAGAAAAATTTAGGAATAAATTAACTACCGACCTAAAATTAGTCTGAGGAAGATGATCTCTGGCTGGATTCTAGAGCTAGACTCTTCTGGTTAAGTTGAATAATGAAGAATGGGTCACAACTGGCTACAAACTCATTTCAGATAATTACCTCCTTTAAAGAGATGCTAACATACTGGTAACACAAAATGCAGCCAGTAACATAAATGTGGGTGTTTTGCAGCTGATCTGTACTTGGAAATGGCAGATAATGGCACAGCAGTGGCTAGCTGAGTGTACATTTGAATCCATGGAAAAATCCCCTGGACTGAACAAGATGCCTTGGACTTTAGGTCTTGTTCACCGGAGCTGACAGTTGCACAATGGGATACGGTACTGCACAGGAATCCAAAACATATCTTTGGACCAAAGGCAGAAAGTCAAGAAATGAATGAAAGAAAATTGTACTCTCTGTATCACACTTTATGGTCTCTGTGGTTTGATCTCTATTGCTGGTCTACTGCTGTGCTTCTGCTCTTTTTTTTTTCCTCTCTGTCTCTGGCTTTCTAGATATTTTTTCCTCTTTTTCAACTTTTCTTGTTTTGATGTCTTGTTATGACATTCCTTTTCTCAGACTATTTCTTCCCACCTTCCTCCTTTTATCATCATCAAGCTGTCCTTCATCTTCTTTTTTATCCCTTCTGCCTGAGCCTGCCTTGCTCTCACGTTTACCTTTAGGCCAGTGCTGCTGCTGCCTTATCTCTGTTCTGCGATTCACCAATGCTGCTCTGGGATGCACTGATTTAGTACAATACGGACACTCAGCCTTTGTATGCAGGTTTGAAAGAGGCTACAACAACATGTTACACAGCCAAACATGGTAAAAAAACAAATCCTGTGTGCTTTTATTCTGCCATTTGACATGCATCGGTGTTGGTCATAAAGTACAATACCAAAAAGAGGTCTTGGTCTCCCCATGAGTTCCAGGTAGCTTCAGGTTAATAGGTATTGGCCAAAGCAAAGTCCATTCACTTTTAGAAATGTTACACAGAAATGCTCCAGAGCTGCCACCCCACAATGCAAGTTTAACTGAGGGTATAGTGCCAGGAAAATTACACTTAAAATTAAAACAATGCATACATTAAGAATTACATTAAATATTTATCAAAGCAACCTTATTCAGAACTTGTCCCAAGCTACTTACAGGGAAAGTTTTGATTGTATCTCAAGCAGTGTCTAAAAATTGTTGTGCTGCTGTGATGAAAAAGCAGACCAGTGTAGCAGAGCTGGAGACAGGGTGTGTTGTCCAAAGGCTGTACGTACGCTTGCACAGCAGCGTGAAGCCCGGGCAGGTCATCATGACAGCCGTTACTCTGAAGTCCCCCTCACTTCCCATCCAGGAAGGTCACCTGGTTAACCCAGTCGTGTTGCAGGCTCTCTGGGAAATGGCAGGCTCCCTTTCCTTTGTCGAACAGTTACGCATCTGGTGGTTCTTGCAAGCCCACTTTGCTGACATGAGATTATGTATCTTCGTACCTTCTGTCTTAGAGATCTCCATGCCTCATCTATCCAGGGTCAGAGAATTAATTTCTGCTGAGACAGACTGAGAATAAGACAGGATGGGACTGTTAAGTTTCTAAATTTCCACATGCAGGAAAGCTTTATTCTGATTATTTAACTCCAGACGATAAATATTTTACTGTGGTACTTCATCATTAATGCTTGGATGTACGATCAGGGATGGGAAGGGTGCTTCATATAAAGGCATGTTTCTCAGGAATATGGACCTTTCTGGCATGAAATTCAGGTTAATAAAATACTTCCTTTTCCATCTCCCTGTATGCTTTTCTTTTTCAGGTTACAAAAGCTGTGCCCAATTGTCTGGGACGAATGATTCTTCATACTCAACCTCTCCTGATTTGTGGGGGCGATGGATTTACTCGTTCCAACTTCGATGGCTGCATAGATTCGGCTATGAGTCTTGCAGAGGCTGTGAAGTCTCATTTATAGCAATTTCAAAGTTGGCTGCTAAATTCAGTCTAGATTGATGATGAATTTTACTATGATGGATTGAATTCTAGTTTAGTGTTAACATCACTGGCCTCTATCTTGCAAAAATAAATAAAGGAAGATCTATTGGTGCGCTGTAATAATTATTGGGGTGGAACTGAATTGAATTTTCCAGGATCTGTGCTGTGAGTTGTTACTTTGCTTGAAGTAAAGCTTTTTCTGGCTCTAGTCAGAGGCACTGAGCTCCAGCAGTCTTGAAAGGTCTCCTGATAATTTTACAGCCCATGAAAATTATGTCAAGACCTGAAGCAGCACAAAAACCCATGGAGCTGCAGAGTTTACTCCTTCTCTGAGCATTTGGAGCCCTGGAAGTGACAGAAGGAACATGTACAATTGATCCCAGAGCTTTCATACATACATGTGGTCATTTCTTCTGGTGCAGATCAGCCCTGGTCATGGTTATTGTGTTGGCCGTGGGGAATCAGTGATGGGGCATACCTTGCTATGCTTCTTAAGCTGGATGGCCTATGCACGGTCTAACCATATCGACTCAACCATGTCTAACCATGTCTCCAGGCACGGACAACTTTTAAGTGAGGGATAGTAGTTGTCTGCTGAACAGCTTTCTTAGCCCACAGTTTTCCGGAGCCCTGGCTGCAGATTGCTGGAAGAGCTCATTTAAGAGCTTGATGACATTACTGGCAGTCATGTGCCACTGAAACGTGGTTTCTGTCCTGGGTGCGGTCAGCCCAGCTGTGCTTGTAAAAGAAAGAATGGAGAGAAGGTGAAAGAGAAGGTGTGCATGTTTCTAGGGCTCTCATAGCAATAGGGCTGCTACCCCAAAGTCTTGGGAATAGACATTGCCATCTGGGCTGCAACATGAGTTTAACAGAGTAAAGCGGACTGGCCAGGAAAGTTGATGCACTTAAAATAGTTCAGTATTCGCCAGGTTAGAGAGTCACCAGTGCATCATGGCTCTCTGCTGGCCCACAGTCCCCTGAACAAGGAGCAACCCTTTCCTCCTTCCAGGTGGTGGAGGAGTCGGGGTAGGAGCAGCCAATACGGAAGGTGGTTTAGCTGCTTTGCCTGGCAAATGCCAAGACAAAGGAGGGAAAAGAGTTTATCTAAGTGTGGGCCATGGCAGTGTGTTAATAAGAAAACTGTGCTGACATTTGAGGCTTAGGATTACATCACCACCACCATAAAAACTTATTTCAAGTAAACAGCCATACTGAAAGTGAGGTGAGTTCTAAGACAGCTCTATACTTTATTTTGGCAGAACAGGTGTAGAAATAGAGGGACGGGTCCAGGGAAGGGTATAAATACACGTGTGAGTGAATGAACAAGGAATTTGGTTTGAAATACTAAAAAAATAAACAGCAAGTATAATTGTGCTGAAAATACTACTTGTCATGGTTTCAAGTATTTCTAAGCTACTACTAAACTGTGTTTCTTTGAAATCAATTTTGAAATTACTCAGAAATTATCCAAGAAATAATGTATTTATTCTAAATTTGATTTTAGCTTGCCCTTCCTCTTAAATCACGTGTCACAAGTTTAGTAGCTCCTTCTACTACAGCACTAAAAATAACAAAATGCTATTTTCAGCAGACAGAATTTTAACTGTTGGAGAAGTACGCCTCTTTTTCTTATACCCCTGCATTTCAGAAAAATCCAACATTCTGTGTTCACAGCAACTGAAGACTGATTTACTCCTGTGTTTGACCGTTTCTAATGCAGTATTTTAAGTGACACTAAGAACTTTAAAACTTAAGTTAATTTTAAAAACATCTTTGAAAGAGATTTCATGATACCATGTGGTTTTATTGATTTTTTATCTTCTTTCCATGAAATCGTCGAGTTTAAAACTAGGTGTTATCGCATCTGAACCAACCAGCTCCAAACCCTCAGGTTTCAATCACTGTGTGTTGTGAAGAAACGGGGAAGATTGGTGGTCAGGTATGTGCACAAATCTTTTACAAACGCATGTGATCTCCCATCTTCCACGGATCAAGGTAGCCATGAAGAGCCACACAGTCCTGGAATAAGTCTAATCTGGTGAGGCATTTAGTATTGGCTTGATTTAGCACAAGCCCAAGAGCAACCAAAGTCCCAGCTGAAATAAGGTTTTACGTTGCAGTGTTGGAAAACCTTAATCAAAGAGCCGTACCCCATGGAGGATGGCATACGAAAACAACCAAGCCCCATTTTTCATATGTGCTCCTCAGCTTCCATCCAAGCCTGGCTGTCCTGCAGGAGTCATTCCCCAAGGGAGTAACACACTGAACTGTGCAAGGGGATTTTCTGCTGGGTTATCAGTTCCCCTGGAAGACGTCGCTGTGCCAGGCGGGTCAGCCGTTGCTGGACCCTGTGGTGGTTTCTGGGGACCCATCCCACCAGTCTGCCTCCAAGCTCTGCCTTGGTGCACAGGGAAGGATGTGGGTCCTTTTTGTGCAGGGGTGAAGGAGCAGACTAACTTTAGGGGATCTTTCCATACTCTTCACTTGTGCTGTTTTCCTCATCTTCACTCTTTGTTTTCTGCTCCTTCCAAGATGGATTTTGCATTAAAACACGCTAAAATTTGCACTTCCTTCCCCTTCCTTCAGTTTTGAATGGAAGCAAGCCAAACCACTAAAAATCTAAATAAAGAGCAATCCTGAAAGCCTGTGACATGCAGAAAACTGAAAATGAGGCATCTTTGACTTAACGCTGTGTTGTTCCTCTTGCCGCCTCGCAAACAGGCATGCTCCAAAGAGCTCCAAAGATGCTCTCACAGAGGCCTTATATCAGCAGCAGCCTTCGATGCCACAAGTGACAGATAAGTGGAGATGTCTCTGACCCCATCCTTGCAGCAATCTTACAGTTTTGGTCATTATGAGACCTCAAAATACTAAGCAAATAAGCAAATCACAGATTCAGAGATTTTTCAAATAATGAGATTTTCAATTCAGAGGTTTTCAAACATCAATCACAGTGAGTCTCAAATTGCATCCCAGATCATGACAGTCTATCAAAACACCTCTTTCCTAGAGCTTCCTCTCAGATTAAGATGATTCAAACAAAAATTACTTGTTTTTTTAAGATGGAGTAGAAAAGTTCATGGACATGTTCCTCTGGACGCACTGCAGACAGCGGGCACTTAAAGGTCTCTCTGGTGATATCTCATTTTCTAGATGTAAGCAGGGAGACGATGGTATTAACTTTCCCACGCAAGGCGGGTAACAAGTGGTGATCTTTCAAAGCAGCCACTGTATCCAAAAGGATGGCAAGAGAAGAGACTTGTCTGGTTGATTTCCTGAGATTTTCCCTGGATGGACGTAATTTTTCATTAACTGGCAGATCCATCAATTACAACCTGTATCTCCTTGTTCCCAGACAAGGGTGACAGCTGTGTCTGATGTCCTATATGTCATGAGCCACAGATAACGCCCAAAGTTGAATTCAAGTGTTTCAGCTCTCCGATAACGACGGTATTGTCCTCCTCATCACAAGGAAAGACGGGGCCACAAATGCTCAAAGCCTCACAGTTGTGTTAACTTCCACGCAGTGAGCATCACTTTGCAAGGCTGGTCCATGCCGTCTAGCGCAGTCACTGCTTTTGCAATATATTCAGCTGCAATGAGATGCGTTTTGCTGATCTCTGAGCAAATTGTACTTTATGTCTCTTAACAGCAATCCTTTCTTGTTAGTTGCTATCCCACCAGCAGGAAAGATTTTATATTATTGGCCAGACAGCAGACTAGCTGTTGGCAGGAGGCCTTGGTAGATACAGGAGACCTTGACATCTCCTGCTAACAGAAGCGTTTTGATACCTCTGTGCATGGGAAGATCATGGAACAGATCCTCCTAGAAGCTATGCTAAGGCACATGGAGGACAGGGAGGTGATTCAAAGAAGACAGCATGGCTTCACCGAGGGCAAGTCCTGCCTGACCAACTTAGTGGCCTTCTGTGATGGAGTGACCACATCAGTGGACAAGGAGAGAGCTAGCAGTGTCACCTATCTGGACTTCTGTAAGGCCTTTGACACGGTTCCCCACAACATCCTTCTCTCTAAATTGGAGAGAGATGGCTTTGAGGGGTGCACTGGTGGGTGGATGAGGAATTGGTTGGATG